ACTATAGCGTATTTGCAATGCACGTCCGTATGCTTTGAACACAAATACAATTGATGCATATCGAGAAAACACGTCGAACGCTGTAAACTTATTCATACCTGGAAATAGACCACTGTACCCGTTCGAAGATGTGCACATGTGGAGTGATTTACACCTTGTATTCCATTTATTGAAATATGCATCACAAAAAAGTAATAAACTCCATAAATACTCAACAGTAAACACGTTGTCACTTCATCGTACAGCCTAGCACTAGAATACACTTAGTCCGTGCTGATCAGATTTTGGTCAGGGAAAATATCAAAAGTGAAAAAGGGAATTAGTATTTGCTGATTATCTAAAACTAAACTGAGTAATTTGATGTAAGAAAATGATTTAGAGCACGACATGAAAGTATTTAACCAGAACACAAATTAACAAATATACACAACCGTGGAGCAGGGGTGGGGTGGGGGTGGGGGGTTATTACCCTCTTTTCTTAGAGTGTGTTTCAGACACGTAGCAACTAAGAAATCATTGACACTTTACCTGAAAAATCTTTGACAAGCCAAAAAATAAATAATAAAAAATATAATAGTAATAATAAAAAAAAATTTAAAAAAATTAAAATAATAAAAAAAAATCACCAAAATCCTATTTTGTGGTAGTGGGGGGGGGGGGAGAGCACCTTTTTCGACGATTTGAGTATAGTGCAACAAAAAGTGAAGGGGGTCAGCATTTTAGTGTGCATTTCATACTAAACAGTAAAACATTATACTCGGAAAAAAGTGGGAGGGGGCATCCCCCGATGCGTTCTACAGGCCTGTCTTTTATGGTTGATTTTGTAAGGATTTTTTTTATTTTAAGACTGGTTGCCCCCCTCCCCCTTTCCCACTCACATCCAACACTACTGTACATTGAAATCAAATATTTTTCTGCCGAAAATGATAGTATAATTGAATGGAATCTGTTCTTCTACTGATTACGGATTTTTTTTAAATGCTTGTTTTTCTTCTTCACTTCCCCCAATTTTCAAGTGCTTCAAGTTTTTCTTTTGCTTGTCAATCATTTTACTACCCCCCACCCCCACCCGCTCCCCTTCGCATACACACATTTTGAGAAACGGTGCTACTTGCCTGTTTTATATGTTTGTATAGGAAGCCTTTCCAGACTGGAGAGTTTCCGCAGGCAGTCTAAAATTTGGTATACCTATTCAATTTCTTGTATTTTGAGAAAATCTTAAAAGATAGTTTAAGGATTACTTGAAACCCTTACCGCAAGATTATGGATAAATATTGTTTTGCATTTTCAATACAAGTATACTCTCTTCCTCTCTCATGTGTAGGCATTCATAAGAGCAATAATGCATATAAAATCCGATGTAGTAAAAATCATGGGAAATGTTATAGTCTTTACAAGGGAAATTAAGGAATTTTTCTTGGGCAGGATGGATTAAACCTGCTGATCTACTTTTTTGACAAGCCAAAAAGAAAAAAAAGGGGGGAAAAAAGAAGAAGAAAACATACACACCCAAACGAAAGGGGGACTTAACAATTGTGAAAACTATATTTCACGGGAATGGAAACATGTGGTCCCTTCTCACGTACTTTCCAGATCAAACGAAGTCAGTTTTTTGTTTCTGTTATACCTATTAGAAGCTCTGAAGAGCACAGAGGGTTCCTACCAGAAATTTTTAGATAAGAAAAAAAATAATAACCAATATCAAAATATTTTGGGGGGATGGACACTCTCAGGGGCACGTTGTTTTCCTTTCCTATAAACTTTGACTATTAATTATATAATATAATTTAAAGAAATAATACACATGCACGCAACCATATTTTAATCATTCAGTCACATTACAAAATTTCTTGAAATATCTAGAACATAGAACATGTAAATATGCGTAATTGTTAAAAAAAAACACTTTATGTAATGTAATAATTAGTACTTTTGCATCGCCTCGTGGTATCTTTTGCAATGCAAGGATTGTTGAATCTCCCACTTTACATTTGGGTACACGGTAGAACTATTTCAATCATGGGCGGATACAGGATTTGTGATTGGGGGGGGGGGGGGGTGGATAACTCCGTTCAGGTAGGGGGTCTGGGGGCCGCCTTAAGGCCCCCAGTCGGTCCAGGGCGAAGCCCTGATAGGGGCCCAGGGGGCGAAGCCCCCGGAAGCTCCTGGGTTTTCATGCATTTTAAGAGTAAAACCAGGCACAAAAATAATGGTATTGATTAGTTATGTACCCTATGATATTTCACTTTCTAAAAGAAAAAACACACACACAAACACACACACACAAACAAACCAAAAAACAACGAACAAATAAGATCAGATTTTAAAAATAGCATTTTACCTAGATATACAAGAAGTCACAAAAATCAGAATGTTTTTCAAAGTACATTGTCACTTAAGAGGGCTGGGTGGTTGTGCCCATTTTCAGACTATATTGATCTCCTTTAGAAGAAGAGCACTATATAAAGATATACAAAAATGATCAAATTTTAAAAGTAAAATGTATGAAATTTTTGTTTTCCAAATGATGGTTGACAGCTTAAGATATCATATCTAAAAAATTAAGTTTTAAGGTATTTATGAACGGTCGAAATTAACCAGGTGGTCGAAGTTACACCATACTTACCTATATCCTGGCGTTAAATTCCATTTATATGGAAAGATTATGAGATGTGTGTAATTAAAAAAAGTCTTCTATCTATGTAAGTAAATTACTGCATGGTTACACCATTTGATAAATAAATACATCAATCAGTGGACGGGTTTGTAACGTAGACCGTCTGACTTTAAATTCATTTATTTACCTTCGACCAGCCTTTAAATATTTCAGTAATTTTCCTTGCATCATGATAGGAAATTGACAAGTGCAGTCTACCCTTCAAACGAAATCGGGAGAAGTTTTCCGGTTTGAATAATTATGAGATAATATTCAGAGCCTAGGGAATGCAAGGTTTTCAGACTTGATTTTTAAGAAAACCGATACTTGGTCCTCAAATAAAATTACCATTTTTTAATTGACCATTAATTATAAAAACAAAGTATGGCATTATTAATATTAGTCATGTCATACTTTGAAAATTTTAGGGGGGGGGGGCGTGCGCCCCCCACGCCCCCCCCCCCCCTAAATCCACCAGTGTCAATTATCTTACTTTCATATATAATAATAGTGTAATACTTACCCAACTTCAATGTATACAAAAGCATGTACTGTAGATTATTTTATATACACATAATTATGTCCGTGCTTGTTGGTAATTGTATCAATCGTGTTTGTAATTTGTAAGGCCTAAAAGGGCCCTGATTTGAAAATAATCTGTCTACAGAAACAAATTGTTCAGTGTGTGTAAATTTAAGATATATCAGTTTTATATCTAAAATAGTTGAAACCAGTTCATTGTACGTATTTAAACATATTTGATCAGGGAAAATTCGACCTTTTTCCTACGTTTGTTTAAAATATATTGAAAAATGTATTATACATATTCCACCCCCCACCCCACCCCCACTTTCATTTAAAAGATGTAAGATCAGTAACTAGAATGTATATGTAATAAATTTGATGTTCGTAATGAAGCCACATTCATAAACATATTTACTACATGTAAGACAATAGTTAGTTCGATTTCTGAAACGTTTTATTTGCTAATCAGGCAAATACCAGTGTCGTTTCCACCTTCGATATTTTCCCTGACCAAAAATGCTGATCGGCAGGGACCACGTGTGTTCAAGTGCTAGTGACAATGTGTTTACCGTTGACACTAAATTCACAAATTGAATGATTATGTAACATGGGCATTTCCCACGCCTTGTTTGCACATCTCCTTTCTATAGCATTTGAATTGAGTATTATATATAAACTTGCAATTTTTAAAAAACGTTTCCTTAAGAAAAGTCAAGATATTCAAAATATGTTTTTGTTTTGTCTTCTTTTGTTTTTTGTTTTTTTTGTTTTGTTTTTTTTGAGGGGGGGGGGGGCGAAAAAGATATAACTTTTACTTTCAAACAACATTGACTATCATAAATTTATTATAATATAATTTATCATAAATAAATTAATTCAAATCAAATTCAATGAAGATAATTGGATACTAGTCTTTGTAAAGTGTCATGCAATGAATTACTGTAGTTCTTTTTTCTCAATAGTTATTTATTTACAGTTTACTATAATAGTGAACTGTATTCAACTAAATCGTAAGGGGCTTAAAAAGCTATGGTTGTTGACACAAAATAACAACCAGTTTTTAATATATATTTATTTTCAGGACGGATGCTTAACTTTTTTCAAGAAGACTTGTATAATTTTCTCATTTGAGTTATTAAAACTTTCACTAAAATTGTCCTGAGAAATGATAAATCATGGAAATATTGCTAATTGAATTTCAAAGGTACATGTATTAAGTATTGATAGAATTTTTTGATGACCATTTGAATTCTTAAAATTGGTATGTTGACTCAAGGCACTTGACTATTGGAACCCTGTCGTTCTTCTGTCGCCAGGATACGTTCCTGATAGAGGGATCCCCAGACTCGTAGAACGCCCTCCTCTTCCTGGGTGTAGTATTTTTCTATAATAGTAAATTCTCCTTTAGATGATGGTTGGCGCCCCCCCCCCCCCACTTTTTGTTGCTGTATTCCAGGTTTTGGACAGGTAAATAGGTTTTTTTGCTTGTCAGATTTTTTAGGAAGTTGCCCCCCCCCCCTCCCTTTTGAGACTGTTGCTACGGGCCTGGATCCCTAAGAGTTTTATTAATAAATAAGAAAAGTTCTTAAAATGAATAGTTTGAAAAATATTTGTGAGATTTTGTCTAGGGAATGAGGGAAGCTTTCATCTGAAATAAATATCCATGCAAATCAACATCTCTCCATAATTTTTTTTTCATTTTAGATATTGTTTGTCACTGAATGTTTACACCAAGAAAATGTTCAAGCACATGCACACATGGCAATTAAAAAATAAAGTACCTTCAGACAGATGTAAGATATTTTTCAATCAGAAAAGATGCTCATTTTTGGCTCAGATGAGCAATTAAATTCTTGAACTATGAACATGACAATGTTAAAAACAATGCACAATTTTAAAAGAAAATTTGAGAGTAATACAAAATGAAAATTTGAGGCTTTCAATACTTGTGTAACTTAATTGTATGAATTCATTTCTTTACCTTTAGAATTGAGCCAATTCTTAATACATATACTTAACAAAATTCTATATCTCTGCTACTGAGAACTATGTCTCAGTTTGGTTGGAAGATAAACATTTGCAAGGAAAGATAAAGATATGGAGTCAAGACTCTCAATTTCAGCCTTTTTTCCAAGTTCCAACAAAACATTGAGTTCCTTGTACAGAAACTGTGATTCAGAAACATACGGTCTTGCCAAAATGTTACTTATTTTACTTTTGTCTGATGGCTTTAGCTCTATAAGACTATTTTCTTTCAGTCGTAGACGTTGAATGTCGCTTGGTAAAACCCCCAGCCATTCCATATCAGGCACAGTCAACATGGGGGCCTCAAATGACAAAGAACGGGATCCAAATTTGTAAATGGACATAATCTCTATTCCATAAGGATCTGCATCCACAAGAATGAAAAATCTTGGAGAAAACTCTCTCCACAGTCTGTTTAAAAGCATTCTGGTGTTCATGTCAGGAAAACCTTTTCCTGTTACAATTATGCAAGGACACATCATTTCACAAAATCCCTCGCTTAATAAACGCTGGAAAATTGCATCCTTCTCTATGACTAAAATAAAATCAGCATCCGTTTGAATATGCTGCATTCCTGCAATATGACTAGGAACTTGGATCCCTGACATGGTCTTGCTACAGTCTACGTAGTTACCATCTACATCATAAAAAGACAAATTTCCTGCAATACATCCTTTTGAGGTAGCCAGCACATGTAGACGCCACCTTGGTACTTGTAGCATGCAGGAGATGTTTTCTAGAGCCTCGTCTAATGCTGTTTGGTTTCCAAACAATGTAGTGTCTTGGTAATATAAATCACGCTTGGTACAAAATCTGTCAGTCTGAATAAGACTATATACCATTGACAAAAGTTTTATCATCAAAGTGAATTTCTTTAGGGATAGTTTGGAATCAAAACGTACTGATGTCATTTTCATGGCATCATTGACACAGAGACCTACATTTTTGTCGTATGTAATGTTTTGCCAGGTTCCTCTGTTGAAATGGCTCAGAACTGGTGGCTTGTTGTCACTGATTTGCTGAATGACGGACAACATAACATCATCAATTCGAGATAGGATGGAATTATCGTCGATGTCAAAATCATGAGATGCCATCTGAAAAAAGCGTTAATGCCTTTTTTTAAAAAGCATTCCAAGAGTATAAGGTACAGCCTTTCGAACGACATGCACATACATTTACAGAGCCTGATTCATGATACTACCAATCTGAAAATGTTGCAAATTTACAATAATATGCTAGCCCTCGGATGATGCTCACTCTGTGAGTTGTGTTGTGGGATAAAATACCCCACTCACTTTCATATACTACCCTAGAAAGCTAAATCTACCTATAGGCCTAATGTTCTATATAAATGCCAAAATATAAAGATGAACATTTATGGAATGTTTTTTGAAATTAACTATTACTTCAAAGGCACGGCTAACAAAATCATTCTCTTAAGTACACATTATTGCACTTGAAAGAAAATATAAGAATTGTCCACAAATGGTATCGTTAACTTTTAACAACAATTTTCATACACCCACGGTCATAAGGCAGATTCTTAAACATAACTCTTTTTTTTAAATAAACATGAATTTTACATATTTTTCGTTTTCTAATGTTGTGTATAGATAGGTACAGCAGTAATCTTGAAGTCTGGTACCAAGTTCAAATTCAGGAGGAAATTTTTCGTATACAGGGCATCCCTACTTATTCTTAAAAATAAGTGTATACGAAACAAGTGCATATCGTTATGGAAGTTAATTTTCTGCAATTGAAAGTTGAAATTCTCGGCAAAAGATATAATTCACGTTTGTTTTAAGATTTTTATCAGAAGTCTTAAGTATTTCAAATCAATATAATAAATGACACATTTTTAAGTGCTCAATATTGTTTCATACCTTCTATTAAATATCGTAAAAAGTTCGAACTTCGAGTCGTCTGCTAGATAATTATACATACCGGATGATCATACCTCGAATGTAAAATATAAATAAACTGGAAGATAGTCCGGAAAATAAACTATGCTTAAAAAATGTAAACTCTCCGTTCAGTATAAAGCATGGTCAAAGGAACGGCGGGGGGGGGGGGGTATAATTTTGCTGATATATACATGTATAGTATAAAAACAAAGCTACTTTATGCTTGTGTCCCTTCAATGACCCCCATTTTTTTTTTTTTTTTGCTATTAAAAGAATTTTTGCTTTGTAGTGCCCCCCCCCCCAAAAAAAATTATAGTAAAAATGCCCCCCCCCCCCCCAACTGAAATTCTTCCTACAAAGACATTATTTCCCCTCTCCTTTAAAAAAAAAATATTTTAGATATCCAGCTTTCACACTGTACTTGAAGCTAAATAGACCGACATAGTTATGGGCTGATATTGGGCCTATTCTCTATTGAGAAGTTGATGGCTCGTTTTAATACTCCCCCTTGAGGGGGAGTATTAAAACGAGCCATCAACTTCTCAATAGAGAATATTAAAACGAGCCATCAACTTCTCAATAGAGAATAATATTGGGCCTAAAATATAATGTTTTATTTACACGCCGTGGTAGAAGGGCAATTAAATGAACCCTTGTCTGGTGCCTCCCACTTTGAATTCTCCCCTTCTGGTTGAACAAATAAAGTAAATATTTCATGCCAAACCCTCGCGAGAAACATTATTGGCTTATCGTCAACATTTCTACAAATCCACGGAAAAGCTTACCGATTTTGGCGCGCATTGATCAACATCAACTGTGACAACTGTGACGTAAAGCGCATAGGTAAATTTAACGTCATTTGATATGAATGTGTTTGGAATTTGTTAGGTTCATATGACCAGGTAAGTAAGCAAGTAGACTATATTAAATATAATAGGAGGGGGGCGTTGATTTGATCTTTTCTAAAGTAAAATAGCAATGAATTCCTCATACCGGAATTCTAAAACACTAGTTGTTCCATGCGTTTCGAATCTAACCTCTCCCGGATATTTGCTGATAATATATTTTTTTTCTTAAAAAAAAAACCTTCAAATTATTTCAACAAACAGCAATTTTTAAGATAAGAGATATGTAAAATTAAATTTGCAAAAAAAAAAAAAAAAAAAAAAAAAAAAAAAAGATGAAAAATGCGCGTTGCTATGGGGGATGCAGGATGAGGCTGTTGCGTTGTGGCAACAGCTCATAGTTACGGTGCCATTCAATAGTGAACGGACGTGCAAAATAATCTCTGCGATAAAACTAAAAGTTGACAATGAAACGACGACTTTCATTGGAGGACTCTTGTACAGAGCGGGATGCAATGGTATCAGTTACCTACATAAATACTATTTTGATTTAATCATTCTCGAAATATGAAGTTAATCACAGAAATTAATTCTATACAAGACAACCAGTGGGTCGACCCTGCAAAAAATTCTTGCTTAACTAACATTTCATCATTTCCCTTGTAAAATATAACACCTTTCCCTTTCCGAATATGTGCAGTTAAGTAGTAGTCAACACAGTAAGTTAATTTATATTGAAACACCACCGCATCCTCTTGTAAATCGTAGGTCCTGTTTATATGTAGCGATATTTCACTGCTGGAATTATTTTGGTTGAGACAAAAGAGCTTTCGGACATTTGAGGTATTATTTAATGCCTCCAAATAAAAATATGCTGTATATTGTAGGCAAAAAGAAGAAAAATTAGACGAGGAAAGAAGGGCAGGAGGAAACATCGTCCTCATCAGCCCATCGCCTCGTCTCAGGTCAGTCCTCAAAATGAACAGTGTGCGTCTACAAAAAACACAATTCACTGCGACAGTGAGACTGCAGACAAAATGGTTACTGAGGACTTTGCAAATCTCCAGAAAGTATGTGATGCAGGGACTGTCAGTGAAGTTCCTGGGTCGGAACCATCTGCTGCTAACACGCTTTTTATAGACACTCTTTCAACCACTGACTTTCTTGGAGAATTGAATGACTTGAGCAGTATTTATACTCTAACAGAACTGTCTCCCAAGGATCAGCCTTTCAATGTAGTAATGGATGGCTCTTCCATGTATCTTGTGGGCCTTCAAAACCATGTGTACCTATCTATGGTTCAACAGCCTCCTAATTCAGACGGACAAATGTTCTGCACTGTGGAACACAATACTGACCATCTTCGTCAGCACGGTGACAACACCAACTGTTCAGTAAGTCTCTCTCTCTTTTCTCTCCATCCCTCTCTTTCCTTCTCTCTTTCTCTCTTTGCGTTTGTATTATATGTATACAAATCTGTTTTCTATCCCCTCTCTTCTCGTCTTTATTAGCAACAGTTCACGTCCAAGTCTTTTCCTGATAAAATGAAGGAAAGGATTGAGAACTGGGTAAGACTCGTGCAGACAAACTGTTTTTTCATTAGTAGTAAAAGCGACCTCACAGAAATATTTTAACAGCAATATGCAGGCTAGCAATATTTCACAAGTTGTCATTTTAAAAATCTAATAAAGATTCTCACCAAAATGAATATGCTGTTTTTTTCAGTATTATGCGACCATGGATGTTGATCGCAGAGAGGTTCATCAACTGAAATTCCCCTCTCACTTGGTAAGTGGTTTTCTTTATCATGCAATTGTCATATTGTAATTTTTGAATTTATCGGGTGGTAGTAAATACAAAAATTACAATATGACAACTTGTTGTCATATTGTAATTTTTGTATTTACTACCACTCAGTTAATTCAAAAATTACAATATGACACAATAATCTTCGGAAACCAAGATGTTCACCTTAAAGTCCAGAAATAAATTTATAAAAAAAAATAATACCTAATTTCTCTGACTGTGTGGAAGAGCAATATAAACCGATCCTTGTATATTTAAACTCACTTTGAAAAAAAAAATCATTTATTTTCTTTTTAGCTGGAATGGTCAGAGCGAGTGAAATTTAGCCATGAGCGCAAGTGGAATCCGCTAGAATACCTAGAGCCAAACTACAGCAAGTTCAGTTTCTAGTGAGGAGATTCCTCGAGTGTTCAGAGACCAGTGTCAGACAATTTTGGCTCAGCTGAGTCATTAATATGACTATTATGAGTATTCCACTGCTTTTTTTTTAATTCTTAAATCAGATCATGCATGTATTACCAATTTTGTAAGGTTTTAAGCATGAGGTACGAGAGTCCATTCGTGTCATTTTTATTCATCTTGCATGCCTGACCACGTTCTTATACACGAAACCTTGGCGATTACTTTGTTTTGAATAACTAATTGAAGACAAGTTTCTTTAAGACCCGTTGCAGAAAACAATGTCAGTCATACAGAGGAAAAGATACAACATTCTTTGTATAAGACCGAGAGCTGAATTAGGAACTAAAAAAAATGGACAAAAATCTCTTTCTGGCCAAAGAGTGGCGTCATGAAATCGCCCACACACGAGTAATTTAATCTAGAGTCTGAAAATGAAATGGCTCACTGCCAGTTTATGAGCTCTATTCAAAAAAGGTCTTTTTTTTTCCAGATGTTTGAGCAGTATTTGTATCTATGAAAGAAAGTCGCGTTCTTTTTTTTTTTAGCATAGTAACTGCATCTCACTGGGGTAATTCTTTTCTTTATTTGCAAAAGCATAAACATGAAATTTTTTGATACGTTCGTTTAGGCCAAGGTACCTCTTGCATCTGCATGTTGTAATTACTTGTAAATATTTGATTGACATAATAAATTAGATATTGACATAACTATTTTGTAGTTTTTTTTTTAAATCGTCCTTTGTACTTTTCAAATTAACTACATGTACTTAATTTGTGTTATAGAATGACACAGGACATTTTCCAAAGTCTTACGATTTACCTTTGGTTTTATCGTGTTACAATGATATTGGAACAAGCTTCAATGAGGGGTCTATAGAAATACATTTGTAATTTACCTAGAACAACAAACTTCTGAGTGTTGCTTATGATAAGCAATATTAACTTCCATTGCTCGTACTTTGAGTGAAATGTACAGATCTTCGCTAGGCAGGGCCCGCGGGGTTTTCAGTCCGCTCTGCTTCCCATAAATGAGCGACAGAAAACCCTTGACTAGCAAAGATGTGTATAGATATATTAAAAAAATGTGCTTGCTCCTCTAATGATCAAAATGTCTACAAGATATGCCACACGATCGTCACCAGCAGTGTTCTGGAAAGGGGTGTGTGGGCCCAAACCCAGTTTTATTTAAATCTTTATAACCACGATAGGGCACAAATTTGCATAAGATGAACTTAAAGAAGCCTGAATGCTTTGATTTGTTGGCAGTATAAAATACTAACAACCTTATGATAGATACTTTTATTTGTTTCAATAGATGTGTAGTCTGCCAATCTAATTAAAATTAGATCTTGCATCCGCTCCCCAATTTTCCACGCGACATACGGAAAACCGGGGAGAAAATGGAAGATCTGAATTTATTTAGATTTGTAGTCTGCATGTCTTTTTGTGTGAAGGATTTTGCAAAGTAAAACAAGTTACAATATTTCCCAATGTATAGGTTGGTCCGTCATTGACAAGTGTTTGGTTATAATTCTAAGGCGCTTACATAGGTGCTTGAGGACAGGACCCCCCCCCCCCCCCCGATATAGACCCCGGGCTGTTTCGACTTTTTTGTCATAAGTTATAAGTTATCATATTTGTGATATAATCCATACCATCAATTCGAAAGATTTATACCTAAAACAAACATTTCATAAAAATTTCTACACACTCTCTAATTAGATAGAAAAATCTACAGGATTAGCTAGTGGGTAGAAATTTTCATAAAATGTTGGTTTTAGAAAAATTTTCGAATTGATGGTATGGATTATATCACAAATATGACACTGGCAGATAATTTATGACAAAAATTTCGAATCGGTCTATATGAAGGGGGGGAGGGGGGGGGGTTCCTATGAAGACAAATGCAGGAAGAGGGAGAAAACCTATAGGCTCCAATTTCTGGGATCAGATAATTCAATGTGAATCACGGCCAGTTTTACTGGGAACTTGGTGTAAAATAAGCTATTAAGTATGGTTTTTATATTTGTTAAGTTTTATTCTTATGAACAGGGATAAGTACGCAGTATGGTCTCTGAATTGCATTACAATAATATGATTTCTTCATACATCTGAATATGAAAATTCAATGTGAATCACGGCCAGTTTTACTGGGAACTTGGTGTAAAATAAGCTATTAAGTATGGTTTTCATATTTGTTAAGTTTTATTCTTATGAACAGGGATAAGTACGCAATATGGTCTCTGAATTGCATTACAATATGATTTCTTCATACATCTGAATATGAAAATTCTTGAAACTGACGTTTCTTTGACAGCTTGACTTTAATTCATTGGCTAAGTTTAAGCTGTGAGATGTAACCATGATACATTTCAAGTCTTGAGTAATAACATACAGCATTAAAGAATTCATTCCAGCCAAAAATTCCGAATTAATGGTCGAGACAAAGTTTCACTACAATAGTTAGCCATTGCAAAAACAACGTTCTTCATCCGTAGAACTGGAATGGTTTCAAATCTAAAAATCCGCACTTTTGTTATTCTAAAAATTGTACATTTCTAGGCATTTTCCAGTTCTCTCAATAATTTTTTAAGAATTAACAAGTTTTAATTCCTCCATCAAATCTACCCCTCCTTGGAAAATTTGGATATTTCTGGAAGCATGCTACCCACTTTTTGTAACAGGAGAACCTTGCCTTACACATGTATTTTTAACTGATCATTGATACTGATCTTACGCCATTAAAAACACTTCAAACAATCCCTCAATCTGATTAAAGCTGGCAGTCTCCAGGTGGCATATAGATAAGGCTGGACCTCATTGCTACGGTGAACCAATTCAATCTGATCCCCAGAGCCATATATAGATAAGCTGGGGTCCCTGTCACATTACAGAGAATAGACCTCTATCATTTATATGAATAATCTGGCTAAACAATCTCTGTTGATAATGTTTATTAAATTCTTTTATTATTTCAGTTATAAGTTAACAATAATGCTGGACTATATTAGATCAAGATAATTGATAAATCATTACAATCAAACTTTTTTTTTTAACTTTAGTTTTACCCACGCTCCACAGTGTTAACACCTCTTAAGCACAAATATATGTTCATTTATTGATGGTACCATAATCTTATCTGGAAAGAAGCTTATTTGAAAATTGTCATTGATGAAAAATATGACTAATAATTTTTTCACTTGTTGTTCAAATCCAGGTAGGTATGAAGTGGATCTGTTTGATACTGTCAGAAATGTAGAAGACATAAATTACAATGTACTAATATTTATTCACCATGTACTTGATTCATTCTGTTTTGTTGCAGTAAATGTAAAACAGTTTAGTGATATTAGAGGGCTAATATTTCTTCCGGACATGTGTAGCCTAGAAGATTATAAGTACTTATAGAACAACACCTGAGAGCTTAAGGGTGGTTGTACTTCAGAGCAGTTGGAAACCATCATTGTGCTGTTGACAAGGTCACATTCTATTTGGAATGGCAGCGATAAGGTGGCATCTCTTCCATTTTCTCAATATTGATCTGTCGATCACTGTTGGTTAGCTGTGATATTGATAAGCTATATAAGAACAAAAATAATTTTTATCACAAAGAATGTTTGAAAAAAGAAAGAAATGTGTAATTTGACATTAAACAAATCCAAGATCAATCAAAGATTTTAGCTGAGACTTTAAGGTATACAGTTATTCAATTTCAATGAAAAAAAATCTTGGATTATTTTTCTGAAAGGCCTGCTATTAGCTGATAGAATTAAAGATCTTTATGTTATCAGTTGTTTGACATGACTTAGGAAATTAAAGACCAAGTAAAATTAATGGGCAATTATCGTAAATAATGTGAGTAAATGCTTGAGTAGGTGTTTCATACGTCATAATAATAAGGGAGTTATTTTTCTCCAATTAGACTTTTCTATATAACTACTTTATGCATTGAACATTTCAATTTTTTAGAATATTGATAATATAAAAACTGACAAATTGCCTGCCATTACTAATATTAAGAGCATCCAAATAAATATGGCACAATTTTAAATTCAAAGACCAAAGAAGATTTGAAACTATAATGATAATTTGACAGATTTTGAAGAATAGTTCAATACATTCCAATTTTAATATCTGATAAATCTCTGATATGTGTATAATTTTATATAATTGTCGAACTCTAGTAAGCAATTTGAATAGACAGACAAGTAACCATAGGGAGGGAAAAGCATTAAATTTTCAGTTCTTGTTCAACCTAATTGTCCGTTGTAAAAACCGAGAAAACAAAATGGCACTGAGATGCACCTCATTGAAATACAGTCAACTCTCAATATCTTGAACATGGTTGGACTGTCAAAAACTGAAATATATCCTCAGGTGTGAGATATCAATCTTGAGATGCTAACTCATGTATTCAAGACCAGTGGGTGTTCACCCAAGTTTTGACAGATCGAGGTTCCAGATACCAAAATCCCTGTTTTTACTAACATTAATGATCTACAACAATTTATACTTTAGCTTTAGTGCATCCTGCTAGTTTGGATGTCAGAGTTGAAAAATATGAAATTCACCATTACAGCATTTATTTCCAAAATTGAAAAAAACAGAAGATTTTTGCCAGATAACCATATTTGTCCTTAAAAATTCTCAAAATTCTGATGTAAACTGAAAGGTTCTTCTCAGTGCTACTCAGTGTTTTACAATCTAAAATAAAATGGACTTCATCTGCTAATTGACATGAGTTGTATAATTTACGCAGTTTTTCATTTAATGGAATTATTGACTAGGGATGTGCGATTTTATTGGTATACCGGTATATCGCGATTTTTTATTGCGTGATACGTATCGTGATACGTATACTAAAATACCGGTATTTGGTACATAACTATAAATTCCGGAAATTATTCGTTTATTTGTTGAAACTGTTAAATGGCAATTACTGGAAGTGTAAAAAAAAATTGAAAACAATTAAAGAACTGCATCCAAACATGCTTTATATTAAATAAATAAAAATTTAAAAAGTAAAGGTGTGTTTTATAGCATATTTTAAAGAAATATTACGGAAATTCATTTGAAATAATAGTAAAAATTCTGTGTAAAAATATCACGATTTATCGTGATATTTTTGGGAAAAAATCGTGATATATCACGATACGAAATTTTTGCCGATACCCACCCCTATTATTGACCATATACCAGTCTAAACATGTACTTTGATGTGTTTAGTGTAAATCTAACCATTTCAGTCAAGTTATAATTTACTAGACTAATCTAATAAGCCTCTTCTTTTAACCAATTTTCAAATATCTTGGGTGCTAAGTAGGGTGAATATGGTATTTTTCCTTTTTCTTTAAGAACCTATTCTCTTTTTCAGTTTATTGCTGTTTCATTCTAAGCTTAAATATTTAATTTTTAGACTCTTAATATATACTTTATATTCACAAAGAGTACAAAAAAAATGAAATTAACATTTACTTGAAAAATCTCCCCCACTTGCATTCTGACATTGATCAAACTAATCAAGATGTATATTAATTCATAATGTTCACTCCAAGTTAATTATCACATACATTTCTGTAGAGTACATTGCACTATTCATTTATCAGGCAACAAAAAGTCCTAGCATTTAATTACCTACTTTAAAAAGCAACTTGAAAGCAAATGTAAATTGGGCTGATCAGGTGAATTGATTCAGATATGGCTGACT